TTGTTTAGTTTTTCTCAGTTAAAAACAGAAAAGGTAACCAACTTCTAAAATTCTTAGATTTGGTAGTCAAAATCCCTGGGGTTGCTGAGTGAGATTAGGATTTGATTAACTCCAAACTCAGGATTTCTCAGGAGTCATATTCCAGAAATGAAGCTCTCCTCCTTGCTCTGAATGTGGACACCTAGAAAATTGAGGAATTCTTGTCTATGTTGATTTTTTTTTTCATTGCCTTCTGCTAACATTAGACTGAACTTGGTATGAAAAGTCTTTTTTCTTTCCTCTCTTTCAAACACATATCTCACTTATTAATTAAAAGTGGCTACTGTGTGTAGATATCAGGCTAGTTAGATTTTTTGTAATGGCAATCTGAAGGCTTACACTAAATGAAATTAATTTGGTTTTGAAGAGCCATTGCAGTCATGATGGAACTTATCATGGTTATTGCTACTGTGCAGGCAGTTCTCTAATTCAGTTATGCTTGTGTATGCCAGTTTGGAATAGAAATTGAGGTAAGCCAAGAAATCTAGGATATATGAGATAGAGCTTCAGGGATATATGTAGATCTGTATGATTCTTCTCTCAACTATTTTGATAGTTCATGGGTACGTGTTCTTCACTGGAGCTGATACAGATATGAACTGCAGAAAGAATTCAATGCGAGTGGCAAACAGAAATAACTATGGGACTCTTATTTTAATCGCCAAACTCAGTAGACTATTCAGCACAATTAAAATTTATTCTAATCTAGTGTGATTAATTCAGCTAGAATGATTGAAATGAGCTTGATATAGCAAGTTTCCTTTGGAGAGTGCTGTAGTCTCAAATGAAAATAACATCTCAGATGCATGAACAGCAGATCATTGTGAGAAATGTCCATTAAGATGTGTTCACAAGCTCCTTAGGAAGAGTGTGTAATGGCAAAACCTTCTTAAATTTACTTGCAACAAGTTTATATTTTGGGAATTGGCTTGATGTCCTTAAACTTTGTTATGTCCTGGTCTTCAGTACATTAGGCTGATGTTTGCCTGAAAAATGTGAAATCTTATGTAGTACAAGAGTAACTTGCAAAACTAAAAGCAGGCTGTGCTTACAGGCGTAATGGCCTTGAAGCAGAAATCTTTTGTGAAATGTAATCAACTGGTGTGACATTTATTAAAAGTACTAAAATAACTGTACTAACTAGATTTATTTTCTTTCTTTTCCTCTTTCTGAGCTTTTGGCATCTGGGTTTTCCTTCAGGTACGTAGGTAGGATTTTGAGAGCTTTTGCTTGAGGTTGACAATACACTGAGAGGTAGATCTGTATTTTTTCTTATAGAGACCTGCTTAAAAAAAAAAAAAAAATCAGCCTTAAAATAGCACCTAGACTGAAAACAATGCAACTAAAATGTGAACAAAAGGTTTTGGACAGCACATCACTCTTTGTAGGTCAATGAAAGCATCAGCAGAAAGCATTTGTATTTGGAAAGAAGACCTGCTGACTTAATTTGTTTACATACTCCAAAGATTTTTCAAGAGTTTTTACTACTTGGAAATTGTAATGTATCTGAACTGGAGGCTTTTCCATTTTGCTTCAGATGTGTTTTGCACTATATGCAGTGAAGCATTTAATTTAGCCCCAGGGTTTTTTTGTTTATTTCTTTTTACCATCTACTTCATTCTCCAGCTGTACATAGAAATTCAGTTTTCTTGTAATTGGGCAGGAGCCAATAAGGCAAATACACGAACTGAGGGCGTACTGCTAAGTGCAAGCTTATCACCTTGAAGTTGGTGCAATTTTGCAGCATACTGCTGCTGTCCATTGATACTTACATGCGTATTGAGAAATGAGGCTGAAGTATCTGTGTCATGCTGCACAGAATAAGTCGTCTTTTTAACTGCAAGTCCTTTGAAATAGCTAATTGTGCTGTTCCTAGCTGACTCTCTCTCTTGATTATGGATTAACATGGTTGTGTATGTTGTGCCTGGGCTCATTTTTGAGTCCATTCTTGCACTTTCCCTTCAGTGCACTCAGGTTATATAAGAAATGTCTTAGCCAACAAAAAAATGTCCAGGAAGGCATGTTAGTACTGAACTTGCTTACCTAGGCAGTTTGTCCCCTGCAGACTGTGGGATATGTGCTAGCCACAGAAGATCTTCCACTGAGTTCAGAGTTGCATAAGGGTTATTTCAGCATGTTTGCTTCATCTAGGGTGATGGCTGACCTCTGGCAGGCAGGTATGTTCAGTGTGGTAAACCACGGTGGAGTGGATTTTTAAGAGATTGGTCACTGTGAATGTTAACATTTTAGTTGGTTTGGATTCCTTAAATGTTTTTCTGTTGTGTTAGATGTAATTCAAGTGCAGAATATGTCATTACATTTGAGTAGTGAAATGTCCTTTTAACCACTGGGGGAAGTTCAAGGGTTTTCTTGTGTTTTTGAAATTCATGCGTGAGTGTAACTTGGATTAACCCATGTTGGTTTTGTTTGTTTTTTAAGATAATGCATGTCAGCAGTGTGGATGAAATTAGTTGATATGTGAAGAGCTGCAGCTCTTTCTCTTGCTAAGAATCTAGTTCTCCTAAGCAAATTTGCATTTTGTTATTTGCAAATTTGTTATTGCATTTATGTGCTCTAGTCTGTTCCATTTACAATAGCTTTGCCTACCACCGAGACAAAGTGAGATGCTTTTAGAATTAATAACAATTTGCTATAGCAGTCTGGTGGTTTTTTAAATGTCTCTAGTCTAGTTACTCAGTAACAAATATCTTTCAGAAATGTTTTTGTGATATGTACAGTTCACCTAAAAGTATTAATCTTTTTCAGAAAGTCAACAAAATACACAGCTGTGAATATAAAAGATGTGTGTACCATTGCAACTGAATCCTGTTCAGATCAGAGAGGGGACTTTGAAAGCTCTCTAGCCATTTCCTGGTGCAGTCATGAAAAATGTGGTGGCTTGGTGCTCTTGAAAATTGTACTCTCTATTTGTGTGCCCTGCCTTTTCCTCCTCAGCTTTTGTGAATGTTATAATACTTCTTACAATTTTGTCAAATGTGGCAGTGAAATAGCTAGCTGTTAATTTTGGAATCAGTGCTGGTCAGCTTTAAATGCACAGCCAGCTATCTGAGTTGGGAAATCAAAGGTGGCAAACATGTCCCACAGGTCATTTCAGCTATTTTAGCCTGACAGCTCAGTGAGCCTTGGAGTGGAGGGGGAATTGCTGACCTTACTTGACTACATGTTGATACTTGGATTCACTTTTAGATTTGAGACCTCACCACAGCATCTCATATCTTCAATTCTGTGCTTCATATCTTCATCTATTCATATTGGGCATGTTTTTATGTGAAAGTCCATGCAGGGATGGCCTTTGTAGTGAGGATTGTTCCTGTGCAGAGTTTTTCTTCTGAAAAGACTTGTGAAGAATTGGTGAAAGGCTTTGACTGTATAAGAGCGTGAAGGGTTGAAAATGGTTGTCAAATTTGAACCACATTTGTATAGACAAATCTAACTCGGTTGCAGCTCACAGAAACAAAACTGATGAGAATTGATCCTTTACCAGGATGTTCTTGTGTGTTTTCTTTGTCTTTAGCAACCACTCTCACTTGTGCTCATCTTAATAAATAAATAAATAAAGCCATAATTTTCTCTGAGGACAGCAGGGAGAAGTAGGGAATTTATCTCAGAATTTCTCAGGCCTCTCAGCATGTTTAAATAAGTCTTGGCAGCAGGTTGCCTCTTCTGGCATTATTCCCCCTGAAGTCTGCTGTCTAGTAATCTGCTGATTACTTTAATTCTACTTTAAATTGTAGGGAGGATTGCTGAGGGAAGTGCTAAATGTGTGCCACCTGCTCCCACGGTCAGGTGCCATGGATATTTAAAGATGAAAATACTACAGAAAGCAGCATTCATGAAAACAACAGGACTGGTGTATGACCAACAGCATTCTCAGTTATTTTTAAAATAATGCATACATTGCATATTTACATCAGCGTGTCAGAGAAGGGAACCTTTAAGCTTTGGCTTATGTCCAGAACCAAAGAAGAAAAGAAAGCAATGCCATGAGGAATATGTTTCATTTTAATCTACTTCACTGCTGGAGACCTATGTTGGTCTCTCTTTAAAGTTATTATTATTATTACTTTCCTTCAAGGGGGAGTGTAAGAAATGTAAGAAAGTCCAAAGAAATTCGCTCCTCGAAGTGCTTACAAAAGTAGAGTACTTGAAATGTTGCTAGAGAAAATGCTGCACCTTGTGTTACTATTATAACACTACTAATAGTTTACAGAAGGACTTAACAAACCCTGGTGGGATTGTTCCAGCATGGAAACTGTCCTCCAAGAAGAAATGATAGATGGTTTCCACAAACATCTTACAGTAGTTTCTTGGTGTTAGAAGGATCTTACGCTTTCTGGGCTAAGGGGCGACAAAAGCGCTTTCCCTCAAGAAGGAAGGAAACTCGATGTACAGATTTAGTGCCCCTTAGAAGTAAGCCCTTTAAGGATAGAAATTTAATTTGGTAGAGTCAGCTTATGTTTAGTGCAACAGAAATATAGAGTATGGAATGTTTTTAATTGGATGGGCCAAGGGGATTAGATAAAACACCACCAACTACAACAATAACACCAAAGAACACCCAAAGAATCTGAATTTAAGATGGAATGTTAAAGAGGAGGGAGAATATTGGAGCAAGGTATGTGGGTCCAGTTCTACTTTATGAGGTAATTAGAATTTTTACTGCGAAGAAGTAAGAGAAGTGTTTTTGCAGGTGTAGTATTATTGATTTGGTGGAGAGAAAGGACACCTCTGTATTCTGTGCAGTGAATAACAATAATATGTTCTAAACACTAAACACTGGATTTTTCAAAATGCAGCAAGAGATAGAAGCCAGGCCAGCCTGCTCAAAGCAGCACCTGCATTCCAGTGGTTAGTGCAGATCATGTGATGGAAGTTACTACCCAGGTAAAATGTTAATGACTAAACTTGGCACAGTTGAAGCTTTTAATCTTTTATTGCAGTTTTCTAAGGAGCGGCAAGTTATGGACAACAGCCCAGAAAAACTGAAGAAAGAGCTAGAGGAAGAACTGCAGCTCAGCAGTGAAGATTTGCGTAGCCATGCCTGGTACCACGGACGGATTCCTCGGCAGGTATGTTATTCCTTATCTTTTTGTTGCCAACAGTGTATTGAGCTTTCATAGGCAAAATTGCACTAAAGAATTACACATGCCTCTAATATCTGCACTAATTTAGCAGGAACATAATACTTTTTAACTGTGAAAGTTGTGTTTATCACAGCTTGGTGCAAAATGAAGTTGAGAAAGGATTCGGGGAAGACTCTGGTGGAAATTGTAACTATTTCAGGATTTTTTTTCACAGAGTAAAGGCAAAAAATTGAGTTTAAACTTTCTATCAGAACAGTATCTGCACATATTGTTCAGACAATACTTTGATTCAGTATACTGAGCTAAAGTTTAAATGTTCTTTGTTTGCTTTCTTGTGCATTGATTTTGGGGAAGAAAAAAGCGCAAAGTCTCTTCAGTGACTTTGCTCTGGTCATTATGACTGCGGTTAGAAATGTGTTACAACAGCCGTTGTATTGGAGCTCAGCTTCCAGGAGTGCCTGGAGCTCCCCCTGCGGGTTTCCCCCTCTGCGCACCCGGCTCTCGGGAGCCACGGGCTGCCTGCTGCCCCATCAATAAGGAGAGCAGACGTAGCGGCCATGTTTGTGACTTCACGTTCAAAGTTTGACACAGAAAGGACTGATTTAGTGCAGCGAAACAGGATTTTTCTGACTCCTTCCTAGTTTTATGCAGTATTCATGAAGAATAAAAAATGAAAGCTTCTGTCACTTCAGGTAATAATGAAAGCATAATTTCTGGGGTCCTGTGGTAATTATTTCTAAATGTTTGTGTGGTTGTATACTCAGATGCTTTAAACTGTAAAATAAAGTCATTTATTTTCTTTCATATTTTGCTTTCTAGTAGCAAACTAGAAGGCATTTATACATGCAAAAAGGTACGCATTCTTCTGATTGCTGGGTGTTTTCCAAGAAATCCCTCCAGATCTTTGCTGTGGGATGACATCATAATTTTTAGAATTGGAGATAGAATTTTTTTTCTACCATGCTTTGTGCTTTGCTTTCTATTTCCTGATTTTGTCTGTCCTGCTAGGGTAGCCAAATTAAGTCCTGTGTTTAAGAATATTTTGTTGTTTGGTGGTACTTGGTATTTGAATATTTGCTCCCTGATTCTAAAAGTATTTTTTGTATAATCTTTTTCCTTACAGGTGGCGGAAGACCTAGTTCAGAGGGATGGAGATTTTCTGATTAGAGATTCTCTTTCCTGTCCTGGCAGCTTTGTTCTTACCTGTCAGTGGAAGAATACCTCTCAGCATTTTAAAATCAACAGGAAAGTTCTAAGATTAAGTGAAGCCTACTGCCGTGTTCAATATCAGTTTGAACTTGAAAGTTTTGACAGTATCCCTGGCTTAGTTAGATACTATGTTGGGAATCGCACACCAATATCAAAACAGAGTGGAGCAATTATTTTTCAGCCTATCAACAGGACTGTGCCTCTCAGGTGTCTAGAAGAAAAGTATGGCTTAACTCCAGACCGACAAAAAGAGCAAAGTATCCCTGAAGGAAAAACAGAAACTGCAAAAAGACTGAGTCTTGGTATAGCCAGCATGCAGTCCCAGGAGCAGAGCATACCCAGAGGAAATCTTTTGAGGTACTTAATTTTTCTGTCCTTAAAGGGTGAAGTGAGGTAGCTCCATCAGCTCCCACTGTGGGTGTGGGATAACAGATGCTAATTACAGTGTCCAGATCAATGTCATATTAAGAACTCTCAACATTCAAATGAGCTCCTAAATGCTGGAAGTTCACACGTATTATAACTTATTTAATTGCTCCCATGGTGGCATGAAGTATCTTTTAATCATACAAGCTGCCTGAGTAGAAAGCTAATGATCTTTGCCCTAATCGCAATATATTCTCTCAGTTAGATATGTGTGTTAAGATTGTAGAGTATATTTATGTTTTTGCTTGGATTTTTGTTTACCCTAGAAACAAAGAAAAAAGTGGTAGCCAGCCAGCTAGTTTGGATCACGTTCTGGACAAGAGATTCCCTCTTAAAACTCACCAGTCGGAGAGCTATCTGCTGAGAGGTACGTTTTGTGATTAAACGTTGTGCACATAAAAGCAGTGAGTGCCTAAGTTTTCTGTTATGCTTCAGACAAAAGTAAGACTGCCCTGAGTACTGCATACAGTTACCACTATATAAGGTAAATTAATATACTGCTTGCACTGTAAGTACAGTCATTGGAATAGGTTCTTTAGTTACCAATGATACATCTGTTGTGATCTGGGCAAATTCTAGTGCTTGCCTTCCGAGGCTGCCAGTCATTTTGAATATGTTAACTTAAAATTATACTGCTCATTGTGGGAAGACTACTTGAGACAAAAAAGATGCTAAGTACTTGTACGGTGAGACTGTATTTTGATAGCAAGGATGTGCTTCTATGTTTAACATTTTACATGTGTAACAGAGACATTTAGAAAACAAATTTCTGTCCATCTGTAATTAAATTGATTATCTTATTCCAATCTATGGCTGCAAAATCCTCACTTTGGTACTGTGAATCTTTAATTTTGTATTAATCTGAAAAGTAGTGCTGTGCATTTTGTCATGGGGTCCTCTGAGCAGGTTCTGACATCATAGCACTTATAGGCGATGGGCGTATTTTGTTGACTCGTACATGAATTGAGAGTCAACTGAAACAAGCAGTAAAAAACACTTTGCAGTACGTAGCAGCAAATGCACTGAGAACTGCAGATTAGGAATGTCTGACAAACGTGTAAGTCCCACATTGGATATTGAGTTTTGCATACACAATGAACATAGGATTCAACACATAAATGCTTGGATACATTTTTCCAGCTCTTCAAACTAGCTACTATTCAGCCAAAAAAGTTAGCATCCCTGAAATTCATTCCTTCCATACCTTAGTATGTGCTCGGGCTTGACTTTGGGAAGCTTTTCTTTCATTTCAAACTTATCATTCTCAGAAATGACTCATCTGTTATGCCGTGTGGCTGGAAGTTTCTGTTTTTGTAGCACAGATCAGGTTACAAAGCAACCTCCTATTCCAAGCCATGGAGACTATCCAGCTCTGACATTACAGCCTATGTATGCAGCTGGGACTGGAGTTATTGTCAGCATTCCCACAGAATAACACAGTGCAGCTGTTCCGTGTACTTGGGATTTTGGGAGGATCAGCAATTGAATGGAATTTGTTGGCTAGCTCATTCCTCAAAATTTAACTTCATATACATATAATCAGTGAATAATTTGCATGTTCAGACAATAATTTCCTCAGGAAATAGTGTTAAGAAAAGACCCTGGGATATAGGCACCAGGAATTGTGTGTTTTGGCCTTCTAACTTAACGTATCAACAAAATAGAAATTTTTTTCTTTTTGTTTTCTTCTGCAGGTTCAAGACATTCCTCTCGATTACCTGAAGCAGATGCTGACTCCTGCCCAAGCTCTCCTGCATTTAGAACAGGCAGTGAACCTTCTTTAAGCCCCACAGTTGTTCAGAAAGTAACCTATGATTCACAAGCAGGAGAAGCTCTTAGAGGATCAGACAGCCAGCTCTATCCAAAGCCTCCACCTAAACCCAGCAAAGCAGCCCTGCTGAAGACCCCAGATTCTCCTACGGTTTCCCATAGCTCAGAAGGACACTATTGTGAGCTAAGCCTTGCCAGAGATTCTGCAGCAACAAAACAACATTTATGCCAGAAAAACAGCTACGTGGAGCATCTGACACAAAAGGAGAGGGGAACACAATCATTCAGGAACTCTGAAACAAGTTATTTGATCCTGGATGATGACCCTACAACGAATTCTGCAAGTCCTTTAGATGTTTCAACTGAGACGGATGAAAAAAATAATGTGTTTTCTGCACCTCTTTTTGAGACGTTGTCTAGTTTTAAACCAAATGATTTTGAATCCAGACTACTTCCGTCTGAAAACAAGCCTTTGGAAACATCAATGCTAAGAAAAATTAAGGAGCTTTTCACCAAGAATAACCCAAAGGTTATTGCACAGCATATTCTTAGAATGGACTGCAAGGTAAAAAAAATATATATACATATTATATATTATATACATATATATATATTCCACTATACTTTATATTGTGCAAGTATAGGTTTTTTTTCAGAGAATAAGATTTTAAAAGATTGGTAGATTTGCAGGTAACATATTAAATGTACTGACTCGTAGGAATTTTTGGGTGACTTTTTTTTTTTTCCTTTTTGAAGAACAAAAATATCCCAAATCCCTTTGGACTAAAAGTGCCTCCTGTCAGCCTTGGCTTCAGACTCAAATTCTCAGTGTTCCATACATCTCTTTAATCTCCTATCAGTTGCTGTGTGTTCTCTGATTCTCACTTAGTGGCGGCTGCTGCTAAGTGAGGCTTCATGGAGATATGGCTGCTTAGAAAAACGTGGTCTAGGGGCAAGTGTGTTCACTCAGAGCAGGACAGCAGCTCTCTAGGATGCTTTCCTGGGGAGGTCTTGTGTTTTGATGCCTTCTTCCAGTGATAGCCTCTTTATTTTAAATCCTGTAAGCTTTGGACACTAAGGACTAAGGACACTAAATAACTGGTAGTATGGGAACCTGTACAATTAAGGAGAGGCTGGAGTGTCTTAAATATTCAGATTTGTGTATATTGGAGCAGGAACAATAACTAGCTAGCGCAGGCAAGTCTGCATTGTTGTCTTCATCTTGTGGAACTGAGAGCCAGTGACAGTCATTCATGGGTAACTTGTTGGATACCATTACGCTGGTAAAAACTGCTAAGTTACAATTAGACTGGCATGGCACCTGGGCCAGAATACATGCTTTGTACTGAGATCTGTGTCAAGGCTGAAGATCACAGGCCTTCTTGTGGTATCAGAAATTTTGCTTTTAAACAACATCTGCAGTTTTATAGAAACTTTAATTTGTGGAAGAAGCACCTCTGTATTAAGTGGTGGAGTGAGTCTACCACTTGTATGTTGGAGAGGAATCTTTGTGAAGTAACTGTGATCTGCATGCATCCAGGGCATCACTCCTGCTTCTCCAGAAGTGAAAAAAGTTTCTCTATGGTGCTTGATATTGCACCAGTGAGGCTTGCTGCATGGCAGATTGTTTTTGTCTTTTCATAACCGAAAAAGCCTGCTGATAGATGTATTTAGAAATAAGAGGCAGATTGGTTTGTAAACATGTCAATGTTTAGGCCTTAATCTAGCAGATAACCTCACATTATATTAATTTGGCTTTGCTTGTAATTGTTGCTAATTATAACCATTAGCTAATGCACCACGGTTAAAAACCAGGGGCAAATTGGTGAGGATGTCAGTTTTCACATACTGATTTCATTAGGCGCTCAACACTGTGTCCTTCCCAAAGTTCTTTTTCTGGTTAATCCTTACAAGAACCCTGTGGTGTAATCTAAAACATTCTGAGCAATGTTGTCCTTTTAGAAATAAGGAAAACCAAGCAAATGCACTCTCAAGGCCCCAAGAGCAGCGCCATGCTGATAAGCACCAGGTCAGGGGAGCACATTTCCTGGAGCTTGCATATGGATCTCCTGGAAGCAGAGGACATAGTTTGACAAAGTATTTTGGTCACACCTTTTATGCTTTCTTATTATGGAATCACTGGGCAGAAAGATTTTTTACTGCTCTTGTGTGAGACAGTGGCCGTGTGAGAGTTGAGTTGTTCTTGGATTGCTGCATTCCTGCTTATGTCCTAGAACTAACCTAGAGTGGAAAGTTTGGAAAGTTTGTGGGCTTTTTAAGTAGTTTCAAAATTCATCTTCAAATTTTTCAGGTGGCAAGGATACTAGACGTTTCTGAAGAGATGAGGAGGATTATGGGAGTGAACTCCGGTCTTGAACTGATTACTTTGCCTTATGGACATCAACTGCGCCTGGACCTAATTGAAAGGTAAATGTTCCTATGAGTCCTTATTTCCAAGGCAGATGGCCCTGAAAAGGACAGAGCACTGTTACTCTGTACTCAACATCTTCTCAAAGAATGCTTTCCTGTACATTTTCTGAATTTGTGTGTGCAGAAGATGGTTTATCGCTGCTTTTTGCAAAAGTAAATTCCTTGAGGTCATAGGGCAACTCTGTGCTTGTAGTACTGGGAGGTGGGTGCTATGGAAAGCAGGATCCTAGAGCTGCTGAAAATCTTCAGCTCTCTTTCAATCGTTCCTATTAAGGAAAGTTCAGAGGACCTACGTTCCAGCTGACTGCACAAGCGGTTTTTTTGGTAGAGAATCCTGATAATTGCCTTTTGCAGATGGGGAAAAGAGCAAAAGAACTAGCAAAGGTGGGGTGTGTGTGTGATTTTGTGGTTGGTTTTCTTTCTTCTTCTTTTTTAATTATTAGTGTTTTTTATCAGCAAAGTTTTCTGCGAAAACTGTCCAAGTTAAGAGGGAGTAATCAGGATCTTCTATCCTGATTTAGTTTCTTTGATTCAGATGTCAGTAGTTCAGTTGCTGAAATTTAGGAGGAAGTCCTCAAGATTTGAGTGCAGAAGAAGCACAATGGGAACTGGAGCTATTATCCACTATTATCCAACAAGTTTGGTCACTCATTGCACAAGCAAAATTTTGCATTCAAAACTTCAGGGATATTCAGCCAGCACGCCATAAGGCATTACTGATCTCTCTCTGATTTCTAGCTATTGACAGCTCATGTCCTCTTCACAAGTAGAGTAAAACAGAAAAGCAACTCACTTGGCTGGTTCAGGCAGTCATGTTCCATATGCCTGATGTTGAGTGCAGCTAATATTCGACAACACTGACAGGGTGCTACCCAGGTTTTTTTGAACAGAGTACCACAGATCTGGCTGACCAGTAATTAGCACTGAATGAATAGCACTGAAGAAAACGTACTAGAACATAAACTCAAAAAAACATTCTATTTAATGGCATTGCAGCTCTTGATAAGAAGATGCTGTAAAGAGCAAGTGATACTGAAATATACCTGAGTTGATCTTCTCTGAACTTATGTATGTCATAATGTATTAATAATTAGTAACCACTAATATAAATTGTTTCACTTGCAGGCACAATACCATGGCAATAGGAATAGCTGTGGATATCTTAGGTTGCACAGGAAATCTGGAAGACAGAGCTGCAACATTAAACAAGATCATCCAAGTTGCAGTGGAGCTGAAGGACTCACTGGGGGATTTGTATGCATTTTCTGCCATTATGAAAGCACTGGAAATGCCACAGGTAAAAAAAATAAAAAAATAAAAAATCATCAATTTTCTCTTTACATTTCAAAAAGTAGTTATTAGTTGGTTCGATTAAACTAACTTATGTGGTAGCAGCATGTTTTTCCTGTGACTTGCTAGAGTATAAAAATGTCTATATTCCTCTTATTTCATCTGAACAGGTCACCAGGTTAGAACAAACATGGACCTCTTTAAGACATCATTACACCCAGACTGCCATCATGTATGAAAAACAGCTGAAGCCATTCAGCAAAGCTTTGCATGAAGGACAAGGTGAGTGGAATACTGAGCATGAATTTGATGCTGTTTGGTTTAGCTTTTTAACTCCGCCCTTGCCACTTGCCTGTGGAAGGAGGTGAGCTGCTGTTTTGACAGCTGTGTATCATATATTTAAAAAGGCTACATAAAGCAGTAAAACAGTGAAATAGAAGGAAACAGTGCACAAGCAAAACAGGAGTATGTATGTGATTGATCGCATGCGTCCATGCAAAACATAAAATGCAGTGGAGCAGAAACCAAGAATAACTGCAAAATCTTGCCTCAAAGACAGGATAAAAAAATCTCCTTCTCTCTCTCCAAGGAAAGTTATTTTGGGCAGATTTGTTTTTTGTGTGCTTTGCCAACTGGATCAGATGATGAATTCTGGAATACAAAGAATGGGTCAATCGCATAATTCCTTTGATCACTTCATCAGGTGCTCTTAGCAGCTCTGATCTCCATAGGGGCCTAAGGGGGAGGGATGTTTCTCTGAACGCTTCTGTGGCTAAGACACAGATCTCTACCTAAACAGGTAGAGATAGAAAACTTTTTAGTCCCACAGTTCTTGCTGTGGTTTATCTTATCTTGGCCCTCTCCCCCAAGCCAAGCAACTTACTAGAAACTGGCAGGACAGAATATATCAGAAGCGAGGTGCTAATTTTGTGATTCAAGACAAATGCCAGTTTCTGACTTAGAAAAGAATACTGCATTTACAATACTTGATTCAGTTAGCACTTCCATGTCTGATATGGTTTGTTCTTCTATGTTCCAGAGATGGTCAGTGTTCCACAGAATCTAACACTGCCACTGCTGATGCCTCTTGTTACCTTGATGGAGCGACAAGCTGTCACTTTTGAAGGGATGGATCTGTGGGAAAGCAGTGACCAAAGCTGTGAAATAATGTTCAGGCACTTGACCACGGCTCGTCAGATAGCACAGAATGCAGAAACGTACAGCTTGACTGCACAACGGATGCTGGAAGGTAGGGAGCACCTACAGGAGAACTGCATATTAACAGAACATGTGGGCTATGTCTGAAGAATAAGATCTCTGCTTAAATGAAAGGAATAGTCGCTACAATAAATTCTTCTCAGCTTTCATGGGAGCTGATATAGAAGCAAAGGTCATGCAGGAAAGTCGGTAACTGAATCTAAGTACAGGAAGAATCAAGGAAAACTCACTGCTTCCTGTGCAATTGAAGTCTGCACTCTGATCTTTGGAAATAAGTTGCCATTTACCATAGCAAGATTCTTTACCAGGAGGCCAAGATGCAACACAAAGATCTTGACTTCTTGCAGCTAGAAAGGAGCAGTAGGTTAGTAATGTGACTTTTATAACTTAAGATTGCAGTGAAAAAGTTGAGACAGGGAAGAAAAGTAGTTCTACAGCAAGCATGCAGCAAGTATGCATCAGTAATTAGTTTCTAATGACTGTACTGACAATTATGTGCATAACAACTCTAGGCCATTAGAATTCGGCAAAGGATAGCTTATCCCAGTATACCTGCAGCCATTCTAGTGCTACTAGAATACAACATGTTGAAGTTTTTCACTTTTTCTAGCTTGTTAAAACAGTGCAAAAGAAACCGAGCAGACTAAAGCTCTTCTTATTTGCAGGGAATGCAGTTTAAAAGGCAATTCTTCCAAGTAAAAAAAACTTGCTTGATGGTGACACTATTCTTTTTACTTACTAGGTTTCCAGCCAGATGAAGAGATGAGCGAAATCTTCAAGACAGAATTTCAAATGAGATTGCTCTGGGGCAGCAAAGGAGCACAAGTTAATCAGAATGAAAGATATGAGAAGTTCAGCCAGATTTTAACTGCACTTTCCCGAAAACTGGAACCTCCTCCAGTGAAGCAGGTGGAACAATTAAGTATCTAAGACTATAAACACTATTAAGTGAAGATATACTTGAAATAACTGTAGCTTGCTTTCAGTAACTGCACGTACTTCTTGCATTTCACAAGATGTTTAGAACTTCTAATTGCACAGTGCACACTTGTTTTAAAACTACTGACTTCTCCAACAAATTATTTATTTACTGTGCCACTACATCGTTAAATGATCCCTTTATGCAGGTAGGTCATCCCTGTAAAGTACTTCTTTAGCTTTCTGCATTTCCTTAAGGTTGCAATCTTTTGATAATGTCTAAGAATAGGGGCATCTGCATTATAATTATATTTAAATGAAGCAAATAGTGTAAATAAAGTGATAGATTAACTATGTGACAGTTGTATAATACTCCTTAACTGGGTATAAAACACTGTGTATAGAATTGTGAATTAAAGTATATCTTTATGCAAAATAATCTATAGTTGAAGAAATTATCTGTGACTGCAACAGAAGGCTCAAATTTCACTTTACCTATGGAAGTGGAAAATTAATTGTGTGTGTGTTGGGACAATTGAAAGTTTTTTTTTTCCAGACAGCATGTGAAGCACTTTAATTTTTGCTGGAGGCTGGGCAGCTACGCTGCCAGGAAATGAATGATGAAATGGCAAGAACAAAAAACCTAGGTAATTAAAATGCTTTCATATATGAGTAAAGGTGGGTGTACATATATATTAAAACTTACTTCACATTCTGAGGTGAATCACGATAAGCAGTACTTACTTTTTTTTTTTTTTTTCTTGGATGAAGAGTTACTTCAGATTTCATAGATAATCAGAGTGCATAATGTTAACGTAAAGAATGCTTCAGCAGCAAATATTATATTGTCATTACATGTACAGACTTGATGTATAAGCATTCTCAGAAATTGTATAAATAATTAGGCAAGAACTGTGGTTACAGAGTTGCATTTGTTCACTGTAAGTAAGCCTGTCTCTGGAGTAAGATGTTACGGCATTTTAAAGTACTAGAATAGGGCAAGTAGGCAAATGAGCAAACCAACCAATACCACAATGGTGGCAATCAGTTCCCCTTTAGCTACAGTCACTGCAGAGGGACTACAACCATACCAAGAGGTAACAGAGCTCCTGTTCACGTTGTCACACTGCAGTCTCCCTATCAATGTTAAGAAAAAGGTTGAAGCTAATTTTTTAAACCATGAAAAGATCTTTTTATTCCATGAAAATACTCTCAACAGAGAACACTATCTTTAAACAAAGCATTTAACATTTAGGAAATCAACATGTGCACAAACAGAAGATTAAAAATTACTGGAAAAGGCAAGTCTTTTAGACACCTCACATTCAGAATTTTAGAATAAGTGATTTATAACTACCTATGCAAGGACAGATGTATTTTTTCCTATGCTTAATAACCCTCTCACAAGTTGCACTATCCCTAGTGAAAGCAACCTGCCTTCAATGGAAGCAAATCCTGGTTTTAGAAAAACAAACAGTAGTGTAAATAGAACATTTTGTCCTTTCCCAGGAAGTGTTATTACTGACCTGTACGGCTGTTAGCCAGGCAAACCACAGGCCCTTTAGCAGAAAATACACAGATCACATTTCTTCCTTTCCTCTAGTTTTAAAATGAAAAAAGTACTATTTAAAAAAAAAAAAACTACGTAAATAGTTTTGTCAGTATTGAGTATTGTCACATTATTATATAAATAACCCTGTATACAAGCTCCAAAAATCTAAACTTTAGCATTTAATAGCCCCCATAATACACTAGGTCAAGCTGTGTAATAATGGTAAAAAATGAATAAACCTCTACACAAGTCACTCAAATTCAGTTTTACTGGTAGTACAGTTCCTAATAACACTGAAATTAAAAAGAATCCAGCACTTCTCCATCCAAATATTGCTTGAGACCCCACAAAAACAGGATGTTTTGATTATTATTTCCCAAACAGCAGTTGGCTGGGTAGACGAGCTTTGTTTGATGCAAATATCCCCCCCCGCCCAAAATCTCTAATCTAATTATTATCACCCTAGTAGATCAGATATGATGTATTTATTAATAGAACCACAAATGGGAGGCAAGACAACATAAAGCAACAGGGGCACTGCAGACAACTATATTTACACGTATAAACATATCCAAATTTCAATTGTTTACAAGTAAAAGTGCACATAGATCATTACGAAGTATCACTCAAATTTCAACTGGTCCATACAATGAAGCATCACCTAGAAACGGACTAGCACTGCAGTAATTTAATTAAAATTGGAACTTCATAGTCAAAAAACTAAAAGAGTTTCCATAAAAATAGTTTTAAAAATATTAAAATCAAATTAAGAGATACACATCCCAATGTATAAAATTCATGATGCACCATGTATCCTGTAAAGTAGAGCTCTACAAAACACCTACCATGTCTACCTCAGCAGCTGCAGCACTGTGGAAAGAGCTGAGACACAAAGCCCTTCGTGAGATACTGTAAGTGGTAGTGTTGGCAACAACAGATTTAGGCACTATAGTTTAAGGCAGCAGTAGAATGGCAAGTGGTTGACTTCTACAAACAGTCATTAGCTCGCAGTGGTGAATCTCTCTGGCGGTGTTCCAGGTTTTCAGTGCTGACAGTAGGTTACTGAAGTGCTGAAGATGGACCACAGGTCTAGAAGTTTCTCCTGACTGCATTGTAGGTTAGAGCTGGGATGTATCATTTCCCCGAATCAACATAACATAAATACATTACGGTCTCTTACCGGTTATGCTAAAAACTGGAATGTAACGATGGTTGTAGTGGAAAAGTTATAGCAGCATACATGGATACTGGATGAAACTCTAGTACTGAAGGTATTTAAAGAGAATGATTTGTTACAAAGTAAGAGAAGCAATGATGTCAAACAAGCGTTATGCAGATATGCCTGACTGTCCTAGGCATGCAAGAGGAGGTTAAGGGCGAGCATGGAGGTGGTGCAGGCAGACTGGTAGCTGACACAGTTCTAAATGACTGCCATTTAAAATGAGTAGGAAAGAGTATAACCAAACCAACCAGAATGTAGCATGAGCTAAAATACAGTACGGGCCTCTTTGACCACCTATGACAACGAAAATAATGCGGTTTTAGGAAGAGATGCCTTTTTACTCTGGTAATGGAATCCTATTTTCCTGCACAAATTTAAGAATTTGTAATACATCCTTAGTTACGTATGGAAATGCTAAGAATGTTAGTGACTAAATGTATGTCTGCATGCATTCATGCAACTAGCTTTTCCCCTTGTTCAATGGGCATCCCAGTCTAACACCTCCCTCCCACCCCCCGCCCCAAGCAGCTGCATGTAACCTCCTTCAAGATCTCGCCCATTTTCTCAGAAACCCGCTTCAGGAACCTGCAGTCCAAGAGGAAAAAGAAAAGAACAAAGTTACTGAAGGCCTTTAGAAGACAGGGAAGCGTGCTCAGTTCTAACAGGCCATTCTCAGTGGCTATACACTAGCCTTGTATTACTCTCATAAATTCACATTAGAAATACCAGCAATAGTTTCTAGATGAAATCAAGTTGTGCAATGCAGTTTCCAAGCCTCAATGATTTAACAGTGAGTGGAACAGAATTAGTTTAAAAAAGAAAAACCTTGATTTCAAACTAAACATGATATAATTCAAAGACAACTTACAGGCACAGATTAAGAATCTAAAATCGTTCCCTTTTCAGGAGCAAATGGAGGTTAAAATTGAGTAAAACACCAAGAATTAATTAAATGTGGCTTTTGTTGCTGTTGGATTTTTTTCTGGTTCAAGGTGTGTATAGTGAAAACAATGCAGTTGTGTCCCATACACAACGTTCTACATGAGAACTACAGCAAGGGAAGGAGAGGCAGGTCAGTGGACCTTCTGTCCTTTTTAATCATACTGTTTTCTTCCTGAGTAATTTTGTTGAGCTTTTTGATTCAGAAAAGATCTTCCTGTTTAAGAAGTGAAAGATGCCAAGTATTTGCTAAGAAAGGAAATAATAATTTTCAGTAACTGAATTCAGTTAGTAGAGGGATAAAACACTTGTTTAAGCATATAGTTTTAAGTCAGGGAAGTGAACAGTGTATCTGATAGGTATTCAAAACTAAAGTAATTTTTCAGTTCTCTGTAAAGACAAAGTATTGTACAGAACAAGCAAGAATCCTGGTCTTTCTCCATTTTATAGCTGAATTGGATTTAGTGCTTTATAGTGCAGGAACATTTTATCAGTGAACAAAGCAGAAAGCATTAGCCAGAATTACAGACCAATTTAATGCTGTTATCTCTAGAAAAGCTACAGCAAACTCACATTGCAAACAATAGGCCATTCCTGACTTCTGTTATTCTCATGCTTTCCATGAACCTGCCTGACTTACTATTTTTCCACTATTTTCCCTGGAAACCGTACACTTGAAAGTTGCCAATTTACTGTTAGATATAGGTTACTGCACCTTTGCTGTTTTTCTCTAGCGTTACATCTATATAAGATGTTGGTACATAGCCTTCCTCTCCATTTTGTCTTCGAGCTCTTGTCCACCCATCTCCTTTGTCCTCCTCAATAATGTACAAAATTTCCCCTTCTTTCATTGCCAGAGTGCCTTCATTATGACCTGGGAAAACAGAAGGCAAAGAAGACAGAATTTCTATTTTTTTTCTCAGAACGTAGCTTCCAGATTACATATAAACAGGAAGTATCAAAAATCTGTGAAGCAAACATATGGTCAAACAGGATGAGACAGACAAAAACCTAGTCCAATCTCTGTAGCTGAATATTTGCCAAAGTTGTGCTAACTTTTCTGAAGAAACAGCAGAGAAGCAGTACTTATGAATTAAACTTATTTCCACTGCTCTTATAAGCAACCAATTGCTCATAAAAATTTACATTATTTTACCTCAATTCTCTGCAGCAAAACATCCATACCCTACAGGCAAATTATTTTTGAGTCAAGCAACCATAGTATATGTTGTTAACCTTACCATCAAAAGGATATATTGCCTTGCAATGTCCTATAGCTGGTAATGGATCATCATCTTCAAACTCATCGTCAAACTCATTTGGATGTGCGTGCTGCTGTGGTGGGCCTCGGACTTCCTGATTCGCATCATCTGTGTAACTCCCTTCAGGGCTATAATGCAATGATCACAGCGTGAGGATTCTTCAGAGTTCTGAGCTCTGAAACTCTGAACATATATACATCATAGGAAAGTGCAAGACCCTGGATATTTCTTTGGGAAGGCATGTTAACAGTTCCGGAAGTGATCTTCTGAAAGTGTTTTGATCTAACAACAAGGGCTTGGACCAAATTCTCTTACAAAACCAAAGAAATCAGGTCAGTGTAACGTAATGGAAGAAGACAACATTAAAAGGTACTATGAGCAGGTGTTACAGTTCAACTCTCCATTTTTCTACATTACCGTGATGATCTTAGTGACCTCTAGAATTTAGAACTAGTAAGATTATCCTTTGGAAGGACATAAACTTTCAGAGGATAAGGAGCAACCTTCTATTAACTATTGGAGAGAGATACTGATTCTAGCATAGATTTAAAAGCAGTAGAGATAGAACAGAATAGTGACCTCTCTCTGCCCTGTGTTACAAGGTGGTTGATATCACTGCTGTGTCGCCTGTCAGTTCTGGCTGCTACTTTTCCTTCAACTTCAGAGAGCCAGGCCTTGAAGAAAAGAAGACAAATACTGGTATCAAGATGAAAGCTGATCCTAAACCAGCAACTACAATTTTAAAAATGCACTTAACTACATACTGTTTAGTTGTTGGTGTACAGCCACAGAGGGACTGTATTCATCTATGAAGTCTTGAAATTATTTTATATGAAGCATAAATATTTCTGCTTAGCCTATACTCTGTACTGGTGTTAAGTAACAGAGAAAAAAAATCTGTAACCACCTATGACTTGCAGAATAATTCATTCATAAATTCTTCTCAACATCCTGCATCTACTATAAAGTACGCTGTCATTCCAGCTAGACTAACATTTCTGAAAATAGAGCACCCCACAGAAAACTGTACTGGGAGATCTTGGTTTAATCAAGTAGTTTCACAGCTGATCTGTAACCCATAAGGCAGTGTACCATAATATAATTCATGTACATTTTTTAAGAAATTGCTTTAGATTCTAACCTCATTCTTGTGTATTTCCATCCGCAGGCGGTCCATGTTGCTCATTGTCTCAGCTAACTTTGGCTGTAAACTGCTTGGATCACCCATCTGGGGATTTTTTTCATAAACATCTCTCATCTTGATGAGGGCATCTCTAACATAGAAAACCCCACAATAATTATACAAATTATATATACCTGTACTAGTTCCTTACAGCAAAGATACTGCTTACATTTGAAATCTTAGCCCATGATTACAGTTCACAGATAGTAAACAAAGATACTATACTGGAGCAGGAGGATGCAATGTTAGCAGAATCTACGTATGGCAGATCTTCAATTAAAAATATTTTCAATAGCTTACAATAGCTTATTCTCTCCTAATTTTTGAAGTTTTTGGCTAAAGCATAGGACTTTAACTATGATGCACTCACTTTTGGTCAGTTTCCTTCTGTAGTTCTCTGTTGAGTTCATCAATTCTCTGCTGAAGTTTCTTGCGTCTCTGTTCTGGAGGAAGGTGGCTGAAGTCTTCCAGTGCAGGGCCCTGAAAAAATAAATACTATTACACAAGTAACACACGCATCTAGGCAGCTGAACTGACATACCCACACATGAACGGTGTTCACTGGAAGCAAGATGGACCTTCTCAGAACTCTACTTGACACACAGCTCTTTAAAAGACCACAACAGAATTGATACGTGTTCTTGGTGCTATCCTGTAGTCACTCATTCAAGGTTCTTTCTACCTTCTGTAACAGCTGGCTTGGTGTTGCGATTAATAATTTGTAGATTAAGCACTAATTAGTCTAAGAAGCTGAGCCACGAAACTTCCTAGTTTAGCCACTGCCCCAGTGCAGATGTAGCAAAACCAACATTACTTACTGAACATTTATTTCAGTCAGAAGAAAAATCTAACGTGTATATAGCACATAGGTAATTGAATCTTTCCACAGCCTGTTTTCACTGGCTACTTGGATGCTGTCAAAAAAAGAACACTGTCATTTGGACCTTTGTTCCAAAACATTAATAATATAGTTCTCTTTCAGAAGCTCATCAATCTTGCTAGAAAAAAATATTAAAAGAATCTCAATTGGACTTACAAAGTTCTGACACATTTTCCCTAGAGTAAAACCAGTTCACAGAGCATAGAATTTATACAATCAAACAAAACTTGCTCATATATTCCAAGTAACCTTCTTAATTATAAAAAAGAACATTTCAAGGGAGGGAAAAAAACCTGCTAATTCTCAATTTTTATTATTATCTTTTTAAACTTAAGGCCAAATATTGGTATGAGCCCACATTTGCAAAGGTTTGATTGCAAGCTTGTGCTAAGATTATAAATAGTATGGTAGAATTGGCATGTAATAAAGCATGGGAGGAGATTTTTACCAATCATGTGAATTTGATGTGCTAACTTTCCTCCATGAGCAATAGACACCTAAACTGCTTATTAAGAAGGTAATATAGTACACATACTGGTAACAAAGTTACATTACTTTCTTACAAATATTTGTAGGTCAAAAAAACCTGCTTGCCATTACAGAGACCCTCCACAGATGTAAAATGAGCTGGACAGCATTTCTTTTGACAGGAAACCTAATAAACATTGCTGTCAAGATTTTGACACAAACAGCCTTAGGTCCAGGTGCAGTTCTGGGTTTCTAGATTCCCCCATCTTAATGATCTTCTTGCCCCTCAACTTCTTGGCTCTCCTCCACTTCTAAAATCCTAATCTCTCTTACTTCTTAAGATGGAAATACACGAGCCCATTAGAAAGAAAAAAAAAGGAAACCAAAGATCAAAGTATGGTGTTTCAAAAACAAAGAGTGTTTCTTAGAAAACAAAAAGGCTTTCAGGTGCTTCCACACGCTACAGAAAAACAGATAATCATGTCCTTTGTATCATTGTTCCTTACAGGACAATTAATTAAAACCAGTGAGTAATATTCAGAGGAACACAGTTATTCATGTGAATTTTTTTTACTTTTTTACTCTGCAAAGTTACAATATTGATTAAGGGGCATTTTTTCATTTAATATAAAAGCAGTCTAGTACTCCTAAACATAAAGGATCATCTCCTCTGTAAATGTCAGGTTGAATTCAAGTGCATGAATTTTGCAGTATTCACTATTCCTCTTTTAAACAAGTCTTGTAATCTTTTTGTATACTTCTATCTTATGCTGCTTTAAAAATTATTTCTGAAACAGAGAAAGCATAAGTATTTCCATCGTCACCAACTGATGAATGCTGGTCAACCTTAAAATCCCAAAACCACAGAATAAATTGCAGACAGATCACAAGTCTCATTATCTCACATTAAGCATGTGGATGGTTAAGAACACGACTGTGTATGAGAATGGAAAGTCTGAAGATGTATTCCAGTGCCTGACTTAGAGCAGTTATGATATGGAAACACTTTCAGAAGATTACTTTCATGCTATCTTAGCAGAAGTACAGCAGACAGATCAGCACACGGGCTTACCGTCTTCACCGACCACTGCACAGTTCATTTGAAAACAGAAAGAAACGGGAAATTACTCACATGTAACGACCAGTTACAAAAATGATTAATGCCTAAAAATGTATCTTTAAAGTATTAAACATTAATATTTTAAACTATGAAAATACGTTTTACTACGAGCACAAGAACAGCAAAAGACAATCAGGAATGCACTTCTGCGCTAAGCATTATAGATTTAAAAAAATCAGTAGATGAGAATAGGTAGTTTAACTTACAAAACTATAAAACACAACTTCTTTAAACTAGGGTTTAGATTTGAGTGTTCAAATGATACACTTAACAAGCTTTTACTGTGGGAGAAGAAATGCACACAGCCAACACTGCACAAAATAGCAGAATTTGATGATGATGGACTGATCAGCCATATACAAATAGCTTTTTACAGCAATCCACTACCATCACCTTTACAAAGGTAATTTACACCTTATTATCACAGAAGGCTACAATAAACAAAGACCTTTTTCAAGTTAATGATTTTACTTTTTGTAAACAAACATTTGGGTCAGCATTGCTACCCTAGAATGTTTTAGTTATTCAACCTGGAAGAAGTAAATAAACAAAAGCACAGCTTTGCTTTAACATTCACTATGCTTTCCATGACCTTTTATAAGCCTTTCCAGAGAATGGCTAAGGAACTTAGGAGATAGACAGATATCTGCATTGATATGACCTTTAGCGATTGCTATGACTATTGATGATTAGAATTTCTAGCAATAAAGAAAATGAACATCCTTCACAAATGATACCATGGTAGAAACCTCAACAAAGTCCAAAGCCGTACAATGGATACAGAATAAACTACTTTTTCTCTCTACAAAGAGCCTTCTAAGAAAATGCAAAATAAGATTCATGTGTCACTGTTCACAACACAACCATGTATGTATCAAGCAGCAGTGAGGAAAGACCTCGTAAGTAAATGGAAATGATGATTTTGAAAATAATAAGCTGCATGGAGTAATAGTATTAATGAAAGGGAGGCGTGGCTATTCCTAAGGCTTTTTTCCATACCTTGTTAATTTTGTATAGAGAGAGAACTTCAGCTACTGTACACTATGTTCTCTGTACAGCAGATGGCAGGAAAAATCCTAATGCATGAAGCACAGAATGAGAGCAGCTCAGTTTTGTGATCTCTAGTGCTTCAAATGACACCTGGGGCATAAAAAGCAGCATGTCTGCTATGCTTATTACCTCATCTTTGCTCATGGATAAATCTCAAAGCAAATTAAAACACCATTTGAAAGTTGTGCCTGTCAATTCTATTTGGACATAGTTTTCCAGGGATAAAACCATGGAAAACATAGCACTTTGTATTAGGAACTATTAAGAATAGAACAAACAGTATTTCAAAGATAAAACTGGTCAATGACCTAAAATCTATTAAAATTACAGCACACATTTAAAGACATTTGATATGTGAGGTCTTTAAATGTTTGCAAGGTATTTCAAACCACATAAAACAAAATATTCATCTGGAAGACTTAGAGATTTCAAAACATTTGATACTGCCGGATAACGGAGATCATCCACATTTGGATGTTACTATCAATCTTCTGTATTGAGTTGATTCTATTTTACAGCATGGCCAATAAATTGGTAAGAATACAAAATTAAAATACTGTTTTTGTTTTCCATGGGTATTTTCTAGTTGTTAGTAACAAATTCTAGATCTATTAAGATTATAAGGTATCAATTTGTGAGGAGTTGATATATCCAATGATAAAACAAAAAGGCGGGGGTTAATCAAGATCTCTGCTACTTCAGCAACTTTAATCCAGTTCTTGAGTAGGTAAGGAAGGAATACTATCTTCACAACCAAAATAGATTACAATACCATTCAGAAAATAAAAGGAAAAGCTTCCCTTCATCAATACATACAGAATATCTGGGGGTCTGATATAAGATGTCATGACATGATTTAAAGAAAGTACATTAAAGCATGGTTCATTTCTGAATGATAGCAAGGGAGCCTCTAAATCATTAACTTTACTGCACTGCTGCGCTGTACTTTGATCTCCACATTACAGTAACCAGCCATTCTTGGTGCATATGAGATAGCACGCTGATTTTTGTTTTCGAATACAAGAAAATCATGAATTAAATATAATCAGGTACATCCAATTATCTCATTATAAAGATCACTAAGCATCTTAAAACACACAAACTGGGCAGCCTGTATTTCACTGAAATAACAGGAAAGTGGCAATACATTTATCACTTGTACTGTAAACGTTGCTAAGAAACCACTTAACAATTCTCTTCTGTTGTCTTCCAAACAAATTCTATTTGCAGAATATGCCACTAATAACTGATAAATGAATTGACAAATCTCAAAGTAATTTTTCAATACCTTTACCCAGAAGTACCTTGGACAAAAACAATTTGTTAAGCATAAAATTAAGAGGGTAATTTTTCAGAAAATCAGGATTGCAAAATCTGCAAGCACTGTGTGCTGAAACATTTGATGTATAAAAAAATAAATGAAACTTCTCCATTCTTCGTTCTGTCTCAACATCAACTACTATTATTTCAATTAGAAGTCAGCAAATAAAGCGATCATCTGTAAGCTTTTTTTATGGTTACTATTTATTCCCTGCGGTGTAGTACTGCTAAAATATGGTATATGATGGTAGGAAAACATTTGTGAACGTGAACAACAATGAATAAAAGTTATCAAACACATGCTGAGCACCCTCTTTATAAAACTTTTATTTTAGACACAAGCATTTGGAATGTTACAACAAGTATTTACACTATTGCAATTTTAATCTGGTGGTAAGGTCTGTGTAATATGAAAAAAAAAACCCACAAACCAACAACCACCAGAGCATCCTAAAAGTGACTGTATAGCTGAGTACTGCTTAAAAAAGAGTAAGCCTTATAATGAGGGTGAAGAGCATTAGAAAAGCCACATCACAAACACACTGTTCATAGCCCATCATGCATTTCAACTTTTTATCCAACTTACCCCTCTTTTGAGGCTTCTGAAAGAAGGAATTCTGGGCTTCCCTGTTTTTATGTCACTCATGCAATAATGCACTGGTTCAATGGAGAATATGGGATACTGGGACCCATTAGGAGTACTGGATATGTATAAACTAGTAGGGGTTAGGGGTGGGGACTGTGGCTAATGTGGAAATAAAGAAAGCAACAAATAAGCCAAATGTTCAAAGTGATTTTAAAATGAAAATTCTGTCTTATAAAAGCAAAATTTCCATCTATCACAAACACCTTTAACTTTCACAGACACGTTTATGCTATCACTGTATGGGTTTTAAGAGGTTGCTGTCACAAATTAATCTTCAGAGACAGAGGAATATTTAAGAAAACTTCAGGCTCAACTTTCATAAGATCTCAAAAAAGATTCCAAACTTGTTTCTCTGTTCTTTTAGAACAGGAAATTTTGCTTTTTCCAACTTTATTTATGGTCATTCCGGAAACTTGCGCAACTGTGCTCACATTTTCTTCCTACATTTTGATGCACCTTCCCCGGTAAGTTAGAAATAATATGTAGTACATGGAGAATGACCAAGAAAGAGGTCTACTGAGACCTCTTGTAATCAAACTGGACTTGCAAAATGGCTGCGTACCATTCCTAATCAACATCATCACTACAACTTCCCCTGCTTTCTTCCTCCACTTTTAAAAAATTGCTTCTCTGATGGTTTCTCTCTCCTGCTCTTTGCTGCTTTTGCCTATTTCAGTTTTCCCATTTTCTCTGCTACACAATTCATTCCCTTTCCGAAAGGCTTTTCTGTCTGACAACATCAAAAAATAGGTAAACATACGTAAGGAAGTCAAGACCATCCACAGCTCAAGCTAAATGAAGGCCCAAATGCCACCACAAATACATCAAATACACTAAGTTAGTATTTTTGCTTTGGTTTTCTATTAGCTAATGTTTTGAAATACTTTAAGAATGTTATGTGCTTATATTCTTATAGGAAATATAATAAATAACATACAGTTTATATAAAATATATACAATTCCAAACATATATATATATATATATATATATTCTGATGTATATTTTACTTCCAGCTGTTTTTTTTTGTTTGTTTGTTTTTTAAAGGTGTGTTCATAAATCAATTCCTCCCACCCCTCCCCCTCCAAAAACAAAAACTGAACATAATCTTCCATTTATTCCAGGTACTTAAGGAAGAGTATGTAGAATTTATACATATTTGTGTGTCTGTGATTCCACATAGGAAATAGCATGTAGCGTTCATAGTCACCTCTATGGAGTGAACAAACTGTGGAGAAGAAAGAGTAGGGAAACAGTCCTGACAGCTTTCTTCAGCTGTCATCATGCTATGGAATATCTTGTATCTACAGTAAACATCCATCCAGAAGCACATTTAGATCGTCACTGCTTTGCTGTCTGTGGCAGAGGATGCATGTGTGTGTGAGCACACATGCAAAGCTTTTGGACACAGGGCTTATTACCAAACTGGTAGTCATGACTGCAGCCAAATGCAATAAAGATGGTAATATGTTGAAATGATAAACTACTATCAGTCATTAATTATACTGCATGAAAGGTAAATAATCAGTTTTCATTTTAACACAGCTGCAGTTACACATAACATATTGAGGAGGAGAAAGGAATCAGCTGAATCTTTTCTGCAAAGATCTGCTTCCTTGGAATACTATCAACTGGAAAATAAATCCCAGCCTTCACGAGCTGTAAGGACAGCTTTCTACAAAGTGGCAGAAACCAATTTGGAAGATTAAAACAATCTCACCAAACTCTGAGGGAATCATTTAAAAGACTCACTTATATGTTCTAATACTAGCTAAAATCCTACCATAAAATTTAAATTTGTGCCTACTTCCATTTTTTTCCTGAGCATAGGCATATTTTTACCTTTTTCACAGCTACATTTCCTCTGGGATATTTTCCTGTATGGATCTTCAACAGTATGTTTTATCAATGAATTACTGTAAGCTTTAATATTTTTGAAAATAGCACATTTAATTTAAAAAATAAAAATAAAATCTATGTACTATTCCTATTGATAAACATACATAAAATGTGACATTTTAAAGGAGGTTGCTTTTTGTAGTATTAAAGAGAGATCTGAAGCCTGCCTGATTCCAAAGCATAAAACACACCCTCTCAGTTTTGCTTATTTTTACGTCCAAATCAACACTTTTTCTATGCAATTACAGAAAGTCTTTACAGCAACTCAAAATAATTAGGGAAGTTGGAAACTACTTTTATTTACTATATTTCAACCTATGCAGAACATCGAATAACGGATAAAAAACCTTACAGGACACAGACCACGGGAAGAATCGCAAAACTTCCTTCCACAAAAACCTGAGAACATCCAACCTTACTCAAACTGTATGTCATCAAAAAACAATGGAGTACAAGGAGAACGTACTTTTAAAATAAATAATTGCTATTTCTATGTGCTCTGAATCTTCACATTTTAATTTTACGAGTAGTAATTTCAGAATTGTTACCTTTGGCTTTTTTCCAAATAGCCACAGCTTTCCTTTTGCCTTGCCCACTGTAGTTTTTGAATCAATTCTCATTCCTTCCTGCTTTGGTGTACTGATGGTTCCATCAGAGATAGTTCTGTAAATATTCTGACTGTAGTCTTCAAATGGAAAATCTCCAGGAGGTTCAAAACCAGATTTGAAGCAGTCTATCACTAGCTGGGAGTCCTAAACAGAACGTGAGTGAGTTTAAAAAGAAAATCAAGCAGTTATCAAGAGAGAAGAAGAGAGAAACCTGGAGACATAAATTTTCCCTTTAAGACTTAAACAGAGAGGACACAAAATGCCTTCTGTTGGACTGAAGATAAAGTATGTTATTTTTTTTCTCAGCAGCGTTACCAATGGCACAAATCAAAGCATACATACACTGCTATTCAGAAGCCAGCAAAGAGTCCCCACAGGTTCTCAGGAATTTAAGGCAGGGCAATGGTTTATGCCCAAATTAGACTCCATCTTTTTATACTTTATCCAATTTAATGCTACATGCCAGAGAAGACACCAACCATGTTGGTATTCTGGGATGTTTCAGGATATGCAAAACAACGCATCCAAATCATATATGATGTTAAACATCTTCAGATCAAAGTAAAACAATAAAACATGAAGAGAACAAATACCAGCAATACTGGAAACAATCATTAAGACTAATACTTTTATGGCAAATAATTGAAAACATAAAAAACGTACAGGATTAAGTAATTTTCCTCTTCTCTCCCACTCTCCACGCATCAGTTCACTTTCTAATATGCATTTCCTAAGTAACTCAATTCTACTTACTCTATGTTCATCAACTGATTTTGCTGCAAGGATCATCCCCTCTAAGCATTTGGAGATGATTGGAATAACCTTGCGCTCAGAGTCAGCAAAGCCTTTGTAACATTCACTAAGTTTGATAGTCCTTCTTTCATCCATTTCTTGAAGTTGCTGCAAGCACAAAGGAAGATGAGTATTTATGGACATTTTTTCCTGATCCCGATGTATGCAGCTGCTGTGGTCGCCACAGTGTAGTATGGAATTTCTGTACCTTCCCAGTATTACTATTTACCCAACAAAACAGAACCTAATTAAATTTCAAAAAAAGGAAGTCGTGTCAGACATAGATTTGAGATGCCCTAACAGAAATTAGAGTTTATATTTTTTAATTTATAAAACAGTGTCCGGAGGACTGAACTTTCTATTCCTTATTTTAAAGCCTGTGTAAAGCGCCTCCAGCCTCCTACTTAGTTTGAAAAATTTCAGGCAAAAATGAGAACTATAGAGAAAAAATTCTATTAATTTCTACATCTCCTCACTCTCTCCTTCCAAACAACCTCTCTGGTAATAGTACAGCCACCTGAAATCTCATCATCTTTAACTCTGCATTTATTTCTATCCTCTCCAATAAATACCAGTGGTTAACAAAAAATACTAAAGGTTTAGAATATTAAAAATCAAAACTGAAATGTATGCATTCAAATTTTCTCTTTCAAATACAAACCGTTTCCTTCACAAATGCGCAAGAAAATAAAGAAAAAAAGATTACCATTATAGAAGATCTGTAAACAAAGTCTACTGGAACACAACACAAAAGAACAAATTAAAGAGAAATACTAGTAAGATAATAGCCCAGAACACTTCACCTAAATTAACGTGATAAAGAGAAGGAAACAATAGGCAATAAACACATAAACAGGTTATCAAAATGGGTTAAAAAAGATGGATTTCCTGTGTCTATTCTAACAAAGGCAGATATCTCAAAGAGCGTCTAATTTCATAAGTGAAACAAGGCAACAACCTTAGACCTGCTGAACACCTCCTCCCAGGCACTCTCACATGAAGTTATTAAACACTTGCAAGGAAATAATTTAGAAAACATAGTCCCAGGAGAAAGTAGGACCAGGCCTTTTTGCTTTTACTGGAGACTTTTAGAAAACACAAGCCATTTCAACACTAGAAAAATTGGACCGAGCTACAAAACCAAAACTGTTTCTCCTGGGACTTCACTGCAATATTCCATCAGTGCTAATGCCAGATCTACTTAAGTACTGCTTACCAGCTAAAATATTGTAAGATTCTATGATCAGCCATTTTTAAATTGATACACCTTCAAATGAAGTCAACATTTTTACTTCCATTTCCACACTCCACGTACTCCATGCATTTGTGATATTTTAGGGAGTTCTGTGCATTGCTTGTAATACTGCTGAAGCAATGACCACCTGAGCGTGCAGGAAGCACTTCTGCCTCCAGATCTACCCAGTATAAACCTGCTACATAAGACACATTAAATCACACTGTCACCATTAGCTATGTGCTTTCCTATGTCCCTACGAGTCAATGCATGAAAAAAAATAGAGAACTAGTGATCAAACTTTGCTAGAATGATTGTTTTAACATTTGCTCTCATACGGATGACCAACATTTTTATTTTACTGCTCTGTTTCATTAATACTTCAAGTCTTATGTAAAACCTTCATGAAGTATTTCCAGTGCAAGTGTAAGCATAATCACTGAAAACAAACTCTTTAAATAAAGTCGACTGTATGAGATCGTTAATTTCTTGATAAAATTATCTACTATTGTACAATAAAAGAGAAATTTGACATTTT